GAAAATTCTTAGAATTTCTGGAATTCTGTGATTTTTCTTAGTTCTCGTCTGACTTCTCTCTTCTGGGAATTTTGCAGCTGACAGCCATCTTGGTAGGTATCCATAGCTTACTGTCATCACAGTTGCTATGGAGTTGCTATGACAACAATAAACAAGCCACATTTTCTGTCTCATTTGGGTTTTGCTGACATATCTTTCAGTACCTCATTGGTGAAGAGTGTCAATATACTTTCATTTTGCCATGGTTCATCTTGCCTACCAAGATGGCGGATCAGTGGCGCGGCTCACTTCTGGTTCAGATTCGTGGGAACTACGTATTTCACCTCAGCCAATGCTGCAGGAAAAGTTTTTCACTGTTCATTTCCACACAGAAACACTTTATAGCACCTGGACACTCCCTGCTGCTCACATCGATCAGGTGTGTGTGCGTGTGTATGTGTATGTGTGTGTGTGTGTGTGTGTGTGTGTGTGTGTGTGTGTGTGTGTGTGTGTGTGTGCATTACAGCTTACAGCTTTGGCAGGTACAACAGACCTGAGGGGAAAACAAGCAGTTGCACTCGGCTTTTCTTTTGTTCTTTTTTATACATCCACCCGATTAAAGGGAATGAAAAATCCATGAGCGCTCATTACAGAGGTCTACAGGTGGCTAATGAGCCGATATTTAAAACTTCTTGCACGCTGGATTTCTCCCTGTCCTCCCTTTGTCCCTTTTCTTCTGTCTGTCTTTGGCCGCCCTCCAGCCCACGGCGCCGGTGTTGTGCCAGAACTGCTGTGTCTCAGCAAACTGTGCGCCAGGAACATGAACGACGACACACAAGTTCCAGATTACAAATCCCTGATGCCCATTTCCTCCGGCAGAAGCACCCATTCAGGATGGATGAGGACACTCTGACTCATGTAATGTGGCTTCCTAATTAGGAAGGAAAGTGAAATAAAACTGTTTCCTCTCGTGTCTCCAACCATTGAAGGATCATAAAGCATCAGGTTGCCATCAGTGCAGCAAAGTGCTGTTAAAATCTGTCAAATGTGAAAACAAGCATAAAANTTAGCATGGGCACTCCTCATATTTCACAAAATGGCTGCTGTTTTTAAGCCTTTTAAACCAATTATTGGCATAAATTGTTACTAATTTTCACAACTTGGGTTAACTTTAAGACTCACTATATGTTTTTGACTTTGGTTACTATTTTTATTCAACTTTAAAGTGATAATATGTAACAGCTGTTTTTATGTTTAGTGTTAGCTTCCGCTAATTTTAAAGCAATTATTTACATAAAAAGTCACTTATTTTCACAGTTTGGATAAACTTTATGTCACATCATATTTATTTGACTTTGGTAATCATATTTATACAATTTTAAAGCAATAAAATGTAGCATTTTGCAGAATGAGCAACAGCCATTGTACTGATTAGCATTAGCTTCTTCTACGTTTTTATGTGTTTAGAAGTTTAGCGCTAGCAGAGCTAAGACTCTTGTTGGCTGGCTGTGCCCACCACCCGTTCTTAGTACTAATATGTATTCTCCACTACAACCATGACGGCCATTTTGAAAATGGTCACCAGTTTGCTAAACTTTATTTATATTTGTTTAACATGACAATTTGTCAATGTCAATGTCAAATTTATTTACATATCAATATATACTTAATATATTTACTTCATTAATTCTAATAAATTAGCTCAAATTTAAAGTTAGATCACCTGTTTCAGTGTATGGTTCGAAATATGTGTAAATATGCCTGATTTGACACCAAACACATTCATCTAATTCCAGGACAACCACGGAGTCCATCTTGAAAAATTGTACACCAACAAAAATAAGTTCAAGTTAAAAAAAATTATAATTTTTAATGGTCTAATTATGTGTGATGTGACACCAAATGTTTTCATATGTGATAAAAAATTGGCAAAAATAAATTGTCCATTACGACCGTTGCAGCCATCTTGAATGGCAGTGGTTAGTGGGTTTTTTTCTCTCCCATGTTTGGTTTTTGTATCCACATCTCCTGCACTAGATGAATACTTCCAATTGTTACTCTTGTTAAGAATTTGCACTTAATTACAAACTATGTGATTTTAAAAAGGCAGGAATCAATATTGTAGCATAATAATTGGTGAAAGCTTCACCAGACCATAACCGCTTTGGTTGCAGAGTAGGAAATATTACATCTGTAATCTCTACAAGAGCCACTCTAGCAGGAAATGGCTCCCTGTGTATATATGGCCAGGCCTGAGTGTGGCTCATAACTCAAAGTGGTCATTGGTGCTATTCATCGTCTGTCTGCTGAGGCAGGGTACCGCCTAAATGACAGTAAAAGCCACAGTGGCACTTTCAGCATTGCTTTACGGCTGGCAGGAACCCTGGGGCATCATGACTGGAGCGCTGAGTGAGAACATGGCTGCCAATCACTTGGTATTAATCTCCCTGAGATCAGGAGAAACGTGACGGGAGGAGGCGGGAAGGAGGCCCAGCTGGACAGAAATTAGCTCAGTGTTTGGTCTCCTGGTGTCCCACTGCTTCACACACACGCACGCACACACACACGCACACACACACACACACACACACACACACACACACACACACGCACACGGTGAAGGTCAGCTCCTCTCACTGCAGTCTGAACCATAACACATAATTCATTCAGACACAAAGTTTCAGAGCAGATCGTCTCGATGGATCCCTGGGAGCATTGTGGATGAAATTACTGATTGCTCTGACACTCTGCTAAAAGTTCAGACGCCCACTGAAAGAACAATTACTGAAAATGTGAAGAAGAAACAGGAGATGTATCATAAAAGCAGTGACAGTTACAAGTAGGAATATTTTCCTTTTTTTTTTTTTTTACACTTCAGGAGGCGCTTAAGGCTGATTTCACACATGACAGTCCAGAAGATGTGGTTCGATTTAGGACCAAAACTGCAACATTTGTGACATTTTCAGCTGCACTGAGTCAAATCAACCAAATCCTTTGAGCAACCTGTTCCTCTGCTCACCTGCGGGGGCGCTGCACCAAGAAACACTGCAAAAGACACTTCCTTCTTTACAAAATTTGAACAAAAATGGATTAGCGTTAGCTTTTAGCAGTTGTAGGATTTCTCTTTTGTCTGTGGTAAAAGATCACAAGCCATTTCTAATGCTAGCACCAAGCTATTGCATCTGTTTTGGTTGTATTTACCCAGAATGCTCTGCCCTGTAGTCTGCTTCCAGCTCATTACCACCAACTCCAGCCCATTTGTCTAGAAAGTCCAATTCATTGGTGGTGGCGTGAATGAGTAATCAAACTTTTCTGACTGAAAAAGTGACCTCTGGTCTGCCAACAAACCTCGTTCTCAGTTGAAGTGAACTGCCAAACAGACTAGAGAATACTCTAAAAGCGGGAAACTGACTACAATGCATTCTGGGTAAATACAACCAAAGCTAACATGCTAGTTTAGCACTAGCAAGAGAAATCCTTCAACCACTGAAAACTGATCCACTCCATTTTTGTTTACATTTTGTGAAGAAGATGTCTTCTTCTGAGCTTTTCATGTTGTTTCCTTTAGTGGTTCGTGGTGCAGTGCCCCCACAGGCGAGGAGGGGAACAGGTTGCTCAAATGGTTTGGCTCGTTTGACTCCGTGCAGTGAGAAAGAGAACCACAGCAGCTAGAAATGGAACAAATGTTGCAATTTTGGCCCCAATGGAACCAAATCTACCAGACTTTCAGGTGTGAAAACATCCTCATGGTGCGTTCACATCAGCTATTTATGATACAAAATCAAACTCAGTTTCCTGTTTGGAATGAACACATGCCCCCAAAATGATGCTATTTGTCCTTCCACTGTTTGATTTACTGAATCCCACTGCTGATTATGTCACCTGTTTGTTTTCAGTGGCTGGTATTACTCACTTCCTACTATTATTATCTAAATGTATCACGTATTTAAAGATTTGGCAACAGGTTTTAAAGGCTTTAAACACCTTTACTCAACACTTGACACACCTTAGCCACAACAACATGTTTTTTCCTCTTCGGTTTCAGTCTTGCTGCATATAGAGCACCTTATAATGCTTGGTTATTCCTGTTAAAATGTAGTTTTCTCTCTCCACTGTCACCACAGGCTTGCTAAGGATGATTTATTGGAAATTCAATTGGAGATGATGGAACAAAGGATTTTACATAAAATCAAAAAGATTATGGACAACCCCAAGTATCCTCTTTATGAAAAACAGTGTTTTTAGTCAGAGGCTTATCCACTTTTGCTGTAACACAGACTGCTACAGGAGAATCTTGAATAATTTGGGCATATTTAATTTTCCTTTGGGATCAATAAAGTATTTTTGAATTTGAAACATGAAATACCTGAACTAAAAACAGATCTGAACAAGAATTAATCTTAACTATTATTGTACAATTAACTTAAACCGACTTTTTCTTATATTTCTGATTCATTTATGTACAGGAGGATTAAAATAGAGCCAAGGTGAAATGTCTGAGTAGTTGAACAAAAATTTATCATCAGTGTAAATATCTATATTTTTAATAAAACTAATTTATATGTTTGTTTTGCTGTGCTCAGAACTTCAATATTTTTTATTTATTTGTACAAAATATGTACAACAAATTACAAAGATGAACATATGATTGTGTGTTGAGGATTAAGGAAAGCAAAATAAAGATTACAAACACAAAACTGAACCAAAGTTTTGGCAAATTACATTATAAATATGGTGATGACCTATTAGGGTTATAAAAAGGAGTACATTTCTGCCAAAAAACAAAAAAACTGGCAAATTTTGAGATTAATCTCAGAGATTTTCTGGAAAAAAGTCGAAAATGTTCTACTTTTGAACCTCATAAATTTTCAAGATTTTTAAAGAAAATTCTATGTACAATGTCTCTAAAACGCCGTCGTAGTGACACGACACGTCCATTTGAAATGTACTTTTCTTCCTCCTGTAATGCTGCTGTAGTTTGAACACTGCTTCCTCATTTCAATCACGTGACGTCTCAGGCAGTCAGGCGGAAAAGAGTTTCTACTTCTGCGAAGACTGCGCAGGCTAACGGCGCATTCCCGCCATCTTTCTCGGAAACAGCGTAAGTGCGGTTCGTGAATGGGCTGAGCTGTAGTTCCCGAACGTAAAACCTGCGCAGGATTTTTTTGGTACCGAGCGGAGAGGAGATGCACACGGCACTCGAGTGAGGTAAAGCGTTTGTTTTCATTCACTCCCCCAACATGGACTCTGGTAGCCGGAGTCATGGAGCTCTGTTAGGCACATTTGGAGAGAAACAGAGAGCCGTAAATGACTCGCCGTTCCCCGCGGACACCGGGTTATTTCCCCGGCGGTCGTATGCTAGCTAGCGTTAGCTGGTTTAGCTGCTGTTGGTGAAGGTTAGCGTTAGCATGAGGCGAGCCATGAGGTTTGCCGCTTCCTTTGATTCACAGGAAGCTGAGAAACTAACCGGTGATGAAGATTAAGTTAAATATTACTATTTATCAGTGTTTATGTTACTCTACATCCGCTGTAATATTGTGTTTTATCTCCTGGGATGTGTGGGAGTTGTTTTTTTCTTTTAGTTTGAAGCGGAAGAGATTTGCTCAGGTATGCGTACCACGTGTCGCTCCTCTGTTGGTCCATTGATCATTGATGGGTTGAGTTGATTGGAGGGAATATGCCTGCAGTTGGTTTACTGTGATTTCTCTGTCTCGTTTCACTGGGACAAACCATCCGAACTGGTTTGTGTTCGTTGACCCGATGGTGCTCAACCTCCTGATAAATACACCGTCACAGTGCAGAGGTGGTGCCAGTGGATGAGTTCAGACGCTATTAAAGCTCATTGTGCCGACAAAGTAGTAATAATAAATAAATAAATGAATAAAAAAACATGTCCGTGAGTCCACTATAACTGAGATTGTACAATATGTTTACAAATCAAAACAAATAAGCACACATTAAAACAATATATTTTAAATATTTATATTGTATAATGGATAAATATACATTTCTATCTATGAGAGATGTTATATATATATATATATATATATATATATATGTCTTTGTGCATATACAACTAATTACAAAATTCATTCAACCCTAAAATATTTATAACTATCTTTAACTTATTAAATAAATTTAGTAGTTATTAAAATATACATACTATATATGTATTTTTTTAGGGTTGAAAAAGTTAACTAATTTAGTAATCAAATAATAAGCTGGAAAATGGTGACTCTAATGCCATTTGCTGAAAGAATAACACCCTGAGAGCAGCAATTAATACAGGACTGCACAAAAAATATAAAATTAAGATGGACATTTTTTCTTTTTCTGTAGATATATGCAACATTATACAAATGATATTGGCAAAAAAATAAGTAATTGCTTTTCTTTTGGTGAATCATAACTAGCCTTTCAGTTAAGGTCAGAGTTTATGGTTCATTGATAAGACTGGCCTAAATCTTTGTAATGTTGTGCGGACCTTCAGTGAAGGTGTGATTTCTGCTGGTCCTCCTGTGGTTCTGGCATAAATCACACCCTGAAGCACAGCTAGCATCCATGAAGTTTCCCAGCTGTTAGCTCTGGGTTTAATTTGATGCTACGCGGTTTCATGGTGTGAGATCTGGGTTGGTTCAGATCTTACATGAACACCTGTGTTTTTTGTACTGCAGCATGCTTGTCGGTCGGAACCGTTTCGGACGTTTCTGCTTGGAGGTAGGAATTTCAAAGAAGTGTGTGCAGCTGGGAAATCACTGAGCGTGCAGAGCAACAGCTGCACACACGTATGAACAGCTGCTGGGAAAACGTCTATATACAGCAAGGCGGATGGAAAGAAAATATAACAATAGATCTGATGTTTCTCTTGGTAGTTTCTCCTCTAATCTTGTTGAGCGGTCCCAAAGAAAAAGTTTAAATTCAATCCAATAATCTCAATAACAAAATTTTGCTAGATGATAAATAGTCCCAGTAATTGAAGCGATAAATGATAATATTGTTGTTTTGAGACCATTTTCAAATAATATATTGATAATAGCATAACAATATAAGTTCACCCTTTCTAAAGACCAATAAACTAATTTTGTAACTGGAACGGGAAGATATTTTAAATAACGTGAGGAAAAAGAAAACCCACTTACAACCAAAACCACAAATAAAATCAATTCTGAAGTTTCTGTAAACAAATTTGACCTTAAAAAAATGACGATTATTTCAATAATCGATTAATCATGATTAATCGTTTGAGCCTTAATCTCAGCTGTAACCAGCGTCAGGATGGTGAATAATTCAAATCTTTCCTCACATCCTGCTTTGCTGAGTTTCCTCTGAACTTGCAGGAGTTGTGCTCTGCTTGCAGCTTTCTACTGATGTAAAATGGATGAGCTGAAGGTTTGCTTCAGTTCTCACTCACTTCCTGCTAAGGCGTCTGACAAGGCAACCGAACCTGGAGTTTTACACGTTACAAACCTCCAACACCAAACTTGCATCAGTGCCTGCTTACTGACAGCTCTTCTTACATGAGTAAACCCTGTTCCTTGTTCTGAAATGCCACCACGCTTTGAATAATAGATCTGTGTTGTTTCAGGAGGAGTGGATTCATATTTAAAAATGAAACATCTTGTGTGAATGAGACTCTGTGCAGTGTGGAGGGAAAACTTCCTTATCTCACTTTAGCATCGATTTCAGTTCCTGTAGATTTATGCGACAGTTCACATTATTGCTTTTGGTAATTGTTATCACCCAGAGAAATTTATGGTGCATTCACATCAGCTCTGTTTAGTCCGCTTTAATCCAGCTCCAGTCCATTTGTCTGGAAAGTCTGGTTCAGTTGGGGAGGCGTGAATACGTAATCGAATCAAAAAAGTGAATTCTTGTTTGTCCACAAACCTCGATTTGGTTTGGTTGAAGTGAATTCTGTTGCAGTTTTAATGTATATTTGAATGCCAAGTGGACAAGTGGTTCTTGGTGCAGCGCCCCCGCAGGCGAGGAGGGGAACAGGTTGCTCAAAGGCTTTGATTTATTTGACAAAATGCAGACAGAAAGAGAACCACAGCAGCTGAAAAAGTAACAAACCGGACGACCAAGATACCATACATGTATCTTCAAAGAGTTTCTGTTGGTGGGACAGATCTCTGGTTGCAGCCAGTCTGACTGAGGCTTCTGATTTATTGTGCTTCTGTTGCAAACGTGAGCAAAACTTTGTCAAAAAAAAAGTTTCACAATTTCAGTGTTTCCATTAAATAAGAAACAATTAAAATCTGATTAAAATCATACCACCACACTCTTACTACTTCCTGTCGTCTTCTTCATCTTTGACACAATTAGTTATTGGCGATCACTGCTAATCCACTTTGTTTGCTTTTGCCACTCCTTTTGATTCTTCTGGCTGTACAGTTAGAGATGTTGGAGTAGGGGATATGATGCTTGCCCATTATGAATGATGGAAGACATGACATATTTTATCTAAAATGGCTACAGTTATTACTATTACCATTTCTATTACCAATTGGGTGGAAAAAAACAGGAGAAGCCATCCACATTCTCCAACCTCACCCCAGATCAGAGGACAGTTTCTCTTCATGGACTCTAGAAAACAACATTAAAGTCCTCCTTTAACTGAATTTATTTAGTTTTCCTCTAGTTATTCTGGCCACTAAAAGTATTTTTACACTTCGTGTCACATTCACCTCGAACTACAGATGTTATTATTACCGCCTTGGCAGGAATGTCCACAGCCGTAAACTTTACAAGGGCAGACTGCTCCCTATTAATCAAATATACACACTAATAATTCATTTAAATTCTGAGGTTTCACATCATGTCAAAGTTTGTGTGCTAATTTAGGGGTAGAAAAAAAGTACAACTGGATAGCAGAGCCATTGCAGCTGGAAAAATGAGTTACTTTTTAGATTAAGTTCAGACATTTTTTAGGAAAAAACATGGAAATTTCTGATTTCCAAAAGTCAGAAATTTTCAAGAAAAAACTTGAGATTAATTTCACATATTTACTTGAAAAAATGTGCAAGTGTTTGACTTTTTGAAACCAACAGAAAATTTCTGAGATTAATCTCAAAATTTCGGAGTATTTTGGCAGAAATTTATTGGCCCTAATAAAATGTCAAACAACAAACTGAAGAAAAGTCGGGATTATTTCCTTTGATTTGACAAATTCCTTTAAATCTCAATAGAACCTTATATTTTGATTTATTTAAACAGAGTTTTGCTACGGGATGAAACCGTTTGACGTGTGCTTTTACATGACATAACCGTACAGTGTTAATTTACTGCCTCAGTTATAAACACCCACAGGCCTGAATGAAGTAGCGATTCCTCTGTAAAGCAGGAAAATGCCTCAGTTTCCAAGACATAAATCTTAACAAGTACGACGCTGTGACTGGGAGTGCTGGAAGCGCTGGGAACCAGCATCTGGGTTCAGCAAACACAGATGGGACCCAGTGAGTTCATCTGTTGCGCTCACACTCCTGTTTGCTGTGACTCCACATTGGCTCACGGTAAACTGATTAAAAATAGATATGTGGGTATAGAACAGCTTCCCAGATGGTTCTGTGGTGCTTTTTGCTTATTGATTGCAGCAATATGATCAAATATTGGAGAATTTATCAGAACTGAGCCAGATATGAGATTATAATGATCTTAAGTGAAAATATAATTTTTGTCATACATTTAAGCAGAAAAATAACTTGAATTTCTACTTCTGCCTTTTTTCTTTATAGCATTTATTTATGGTTTCTTAATTTTCATACTCAGATTTGATCAAAATAAATAAATTCTTGATTTCCTGATGCAGTGTTGAAGTAGTGATATCTTCATCAGAGGCATAGGTGGCGCTCTTTTTGTTTTCACATCCTGGCAGTCTATTTGTTTCATGGGTTTTCTCATTCGGAGAGCAAGATAAAAGTGTTGCAGCCATCTTTCAGCCAGCTGACCAGCTGAAAGAGGGTGTCCAATTTAAAAGAGCTAAAATAGTGTGAAGGTTGTAAAACTGGAGCTTTTGAAAACCTGATAAAAACCTGAGTTTGACCAAAACTCTCCCGTTTCCTGAAAATAAGAGTTTATGATCCAACGTATTAACAAAAATACTCACATTTTCACTGTGTTTAAAAAGGAAAACAAAACTTTGACACATTAAAGCTACTGTTGTCTTAGTATCTGGTTAAAACCTGTATTTTAATGAGTAAAACCCAGTT